TTTTTTGCAGCAAAACTGTCTCAAAACTGAAAAAAATCAAGGGCGCCTTGCTCTGGAGAATATTTTAAAGAATCTTTTGGCGAAAACCGCATATCAATCGATGCAGCCATTAAAAAGCCTTTTGAATAGCAAAATTCGGCCACCACAAATAGATAATAGAATATTATAATGTCTTTTCAACTCCTCGCGCACACACACACATAGGGAGATATTACAAACAATACAAATCCAACAAATATAAAAATTTGAATTTGAAAAAAAAAATTCACTTCAACTTTCCACAAGGTTTGCCCTCTACTAATGACCAGTTTGAACAAATCCTGCTCGCTAGGTGGCGTTCAAATCACAAGGCATACCATAATACAGTATTATGATATGATAAGTATTTCCTGTGCATGGCTTTGGGTACTTGTTATAGTGTTCTTTATTAGAACAAACGTTACTTTTTTAAAGACGACAAAGTGGATGGTTGGCGGGTGCTCTGGTGTGGTTTGCTCCTTTTTTCCTATCAAACATCTACCGTTCTTATCTCTCTCTCCTACTTCTTTTTTGTGTTTGTTACTCTCTTGTAACACCTCTAATCTCCGGCACTTATGTGACCGTATTGTGTTGCAAGTGCCGTAAAACTCTTACTAAAACTAAACAGAAGAAGAAAACTAAGATGAAAGCAGAAACAGTTTCCGGTACAAGTTTCTAAAAGCCAGTGTTTCTTCACGTGTATGCGTTCAGTGTTGCTGGTTTAGTGTCCATGCTGAAAATGGTAGGAATGCTATCTAACTATATTGTAATGCTATCTAACTATATTGTATTGCTATCTAACTATATTGTATTGTTACCGAATGCTCATTAAAAATGTCTTATCTCGGAGTATATTTAGACTTGGTGCTGTTGAGGCTAGAGAGGTGAGCAGAGTAAGCCTGATTACCCGTTTGGACTTCTCTGTTGACATCCACCACTTGGCGCTCATATGACTTTATGCTGTTGCGAGCGCCGTAAAACCTCACTAAAACAAACAGCAGTATACATATTGGTAGAAAAGGAGCAAGATCGGGTTAAGAAAAGGGGGAAAAAAGAGAAGTGTGTGTGTGTGTGTGTATGTGTGTTTGTGTGTGTGTGTGTGTGTGTGTGTGTGTGTGTGTGTGTGTGTGCGCGCGCGCGCGTGTAGAAAGAGGTGGGGGTGTGGAAGCGGAAGGGAGGGAGTATGCATGTCAGCAAAATCTGGAACATCGACTTTTTACAACATATTTCTTTTTTCTTCGTCAACAGTCGATCCAACCAGACGACAATATTGGAGCCCGGAGCAGAGAACAATACGCTCACAGGGACGCCGATCAATCAGACTTCGATTCGGGAAATTCCAGTGGAACTTCCCGGGGTGTACACCTACCTACCCCACACGAGGGGAAACCCCGATGCCTTGAGGCCTTTGGTGGAGGTGTCCAAAGGGAGGACAGATGGTGAGGAAATATTTATTATCTATACTTATTATATTTGTGAAAGTCCGTCACTTTCGCCCCCTATAACGTTGGAACCACTTAACTTTCGAATAAAAAAAAAATTAACGGGGATTCAGAATCATTTAAAGGGTGCACAATTTTAAGGAGGAGTCTTAATTCACTCTAGTTTAATTTTCAGTTTTTGGTTAGTTTTGTTTAGATCTAATCTTGGGAAAGTCCATCTTCTTAGACGCCAATGTGAACAAGTGAGGTTTTTGTTCACTAGCCGTGTGCACTGGTTCCACACCGTTGAAATTATGGAGTGTACAACCGTGAAAGCGGAATAGAGAATCAATAATAATTTGTGCATCTATTATATTTGGCAACTTGGAAACACATATGTCACTTTTCTGTCAAGATGTATTGCTCCATTGCAGTAGAGTGTTTTACGGCATTAGGTCAAATGAGCGCACGGGAAACCTTGAACATTTTTCAGCTGTTGGGAAATTTTGAATTTTGCCCTGGTGGCGGCTGAAGCCTACATTTATCAATTTTATACCATCAAGGGATCTTTAACGTGCGCAACTTGCACACGAGATCTCCGAGATTTGTTGCCCTTGTCTGATCAGAAGGCTAGGAGAAGATCTTTCCTACAGGAAGATCAGGGGTGTGGCAGAAAGAAAGCAGTAAGGAGGAGCCAAGGAGTAGCAGTAGAAAGGCTGCAGAAGGTTAGGAGCCCAGAGATGGGGCAAAGGAGGTGAGGGGGTGGGGGCAGAAAGTGGAGACGAAAGCAGACGACAGAACATTGCTAGAGAGCAGGAAAGGATTTGAAAGGAGACAATTTTAGAGAAGAAAATTGTTCCGTCGCTACCTGGATTCGAACCTGGGACCTTTGATTGAGAGTCGAACACCTTAACCTTTAGGCCACGAGAGTCCCCGAATGGCGAGTGCTGTGGTGTGGTTTGCTACTTCCTTCCTATCAAACATCTGTCATCCTTTTTTCTCCAAATCTCATACTTTTTTTGTGTTAATTACGCTCTCGTAACACCTCTTATCATGAGCACTTATATAACCTTATAGCGTTGCAAGTGTCTTAAAACACGGTTTTTTAAAGATAAGATAAGATACACCCTTACTGTCCAGATCTTGGCACTTTGGTTTGTTGTTTTACCACGTACACACGCACGCATTCGCACACACACACACACACACACACTCTCTCACACACACACACACACACACACACTCTCACATACACACACACTCTCTCACACACACACACACAAACACTCACACACACACGCACACACACACACACTCACATACACATACACTCACGCACACACGCACACACACACACACACACACTCTCTCTCTCTCTCTCTCTCTCTCTCTCTCTCTCTCTCTCTCTCTCTCTATCTATCTATTTATCTATCTTTCTTTCTCTCTCACACACACAGAGACAAACACCCCCCTCCCCACCCATACACACACGTACTAAAACAAAACAAAATAACCATCCCCCCTTTCCTCCCCCCATCCTCCCTTCTCCCACCTCCCTCCTCCTTCCCCGCCCCCTCCTCTCTCCTCCCCCTCCCCCCTCCCCCTCCTCCCTCCTCAGTTCAACTGGTCATCGGGATACCAACCATCCATCGTACCGTGGCGGACTACTTAGAGGAGACCCTTCACTCTCTCATCTCTAACCTGCCACCTAGCGACGCCAGACAGTGTCTCATTCTGGTCTTTGTGGCCGAGGTAAGGAGGTATATGTCCTGTCATTACTTCATTTCTTTCTTTCTGTCTTTCTTTCTTTCTTTCTGTTTCTGTTTCTTTGTGTTTTCTTTCATTCTCTCATCTCTAACCAACCACCCAGCGACACCAGACAGTGTCTCATTTTGGTCTTTGTGGCCGAGGTAATTGTCCTGTCATTATCTACTTTCTTTCTTTCTTTCTGTCTTTGTTTCTTTCTGTCTATCTGTCTTTGTTACTTAGAGGAGACCCTTCACTCTCTCATCTCTAACCTCCCTCCTAGCGACGCCAGGCAATGTCTCATTCTGGTCTTTGTGGCAGAGGTAAGGAGGTATATGTCCTGTCATGATCTACTTTCTTAATTTCTTTCTGTCTTCTTTCTTTCTTTCTGTCTTCTTTCTTCTTTTCTTTCTTTCTTCTTCTCTGTCACGAAAGAACATGTCGGTATGTGGTACGAACCATCATGGTGGACGATGTCTGGTGCAGATTATGAACCATCATTGTGGACGATGTCTGGTGCAGATTATGAACCATCATTGTGGACGATGTCTGGTGCAGATTATGAACCATCATGGTGGACGATGTCTGGTGCAGATTATCTGACCCTGGATGAAGAAAAGTCGTGGTGAAAGAACTGGAGGGGAAGGGAATACAGTTGTGGTTTTTTTGTTGTTGTTGTAGTTTCTGGGTTTCTATGAAATTTTTTGGTTTATTTGTTTGTTTGTTTATTTGCTTTGCTTGGCACTTACTTGACCAAAATTGGGTCAATAGTGCCGTAAAATACCTACTCAACCAATCATTCATTGTTTGTTCGTGTGTTTGTTCTTTGGGGTGGGCAAAGAACAGATGAACAGATAAATTTAGTGGGTGGTTGCCGGTGCTCTGGTGTGGTTTGCTTCTTCTTTCCTATCAAACATCTATCGTCCTTATCTCTCCTCCTTCTTTTTGTGTTTGTTACTCTCTTGTTACATCTCTAATCTTCGGCACTTATATGACCTTATTCTGTTGCAAGTGCCGTAAAACACTTACTAAAACATGGGGCAGCATCCGACCTAGAAAACGTGTGATGAATCATGGTTGCCAAAGTCTGATTTAGATCTGGTTCTTGACGAAGTAAAGTATCGGATTGAGAACTTGAGGGTAAACTAGCCTTTTTCTTTGGTTTCCTTACTTTATTTTGTTTTGCTCTGGTTATTTTTTAAAGAGGGTGGGGGAGGGGGGGGAGGGGGGGGGGAGGGGAGGTGCAGCATCCGAGCAGAGAAATGTGTAGCCGACCCAGGGCATGAGATGTCTGGTGCTTGAGTTGGAAAAGTATATCTATCGGTTAAAAAAGTTGAGGGCAACATAATCTGTTTTGTTCTTTGAATATATTTTTAAACTCCTTCTTTGCATTCCAACATCTATCGTCCATACCTCTCCTCCTTTTTTCATTTCCAACATCTATCGTCCGTACCTCTCCTCCTCCTTTCATTTCCTACATCTATTGTCCATACCTCTCCTCCTTCTTTCATTTCCAACATCTATTGTCCGTACCTCTCCTCCTTCTTTCATTTTCAACATCTATTGTCCGTACCTCTCCTCCTTCTTTCATTTCCAACATCTGTCGTCCGTACCTCTCCTCCTTCTTTCATTTCCTACATCTATCGTCCGTACCTCTCCTCCTTCTTTCATTTCCAACATATGTTGTCCGTACCTCTCCTCCTTCTTTCATTTCCTACATATATCGTCCGTACCTCTCCTCCTTCTTTCATTTCCTACATCTATCGTCCGTACCTCTTCTCCTTCTTTCATTTCCTACATCTATCGTCCGTACCTCTCCTCCTTCTTTCATTTCCTACTTCTATCGTCCGTACCTCTCCTCCTTCGTTTCTGTGTATGTTATACTCTAGTGGAGTGGACCTCTAGTTTCCGGCGTTTTCTTGACCTATCTGTGTTGCAAGTGCTGTAGAACTCCAACTAAAACTAATACAAAGAATACACAATACTATTCTGAACGTTAATGACCCCACACTATTCCGAATCTTTCAAGAACCCACACTATTCCTAACCGTTAATGACCCCACACTATTCCTAACCGTTAATGAGCCCACAATGTTTTGTCTTCAGCCCTGGAACGTGACTCGTGTCAACCTGACCGTCGCCAGACTACAGAACAAGTAAGACATTTCGTTTTTGTTGTTGTTTTTACAAGGTTATTCGCGCTCGCAACTTCATAATATTGTTGCCATTAGATTCCTTGCCCCCAAAACATACCCTTAGACTCCAAAATAAAGTCGATAGCAGCATTTGACCCAGAGATTATCGCAAATGTAGATGTCAAATGCCGGCCATTTCGAAATCCAATATGGCGGACATAAAGAGAGAATTCCCAGTGGCCCAATATGTGAAAATATTTGCGACATGTTAATATACATGTGTGCTCAATTTGGTGCTTGTATCACAAAATGGACAATATGTTTGAATATTTGGGCCAAACCGCCCCACTATAAGGTCATATGAGCGCCAAGGGGTGGATGTCAACAGAGAAGTCTAAACGGGGAATCAGGCTTACTCTGCCCACCTCTCTAGCTTCAACAGCACAAAGTCTGCTTCGACTATCAAGGCACCCCGGAAATAGCGGGTCACAAGAGTGTGACAAACATACAAAAGAAGTAGAGGAAAGATGACGATAGTAAGGATGAGGACAGAAAAAGCAGCAGTTCCCCCTATGTTGTTCCGACACAGAATGAGCATGACATTGATAAATCAGCCCATTTACAATTCTATTGTGCATAAGAACATGTTAATATTCCCCCTTTGGGAATGGCCTAAAGACACTTCAGTCAGTAGCACTGCCCTGGTTGGGGGAAGGGGGGTGCAAGATATCTCTGTTCTAATATATATATATAATATAGTATCTCGTTACTTCATTTACATAACGTTTATCGGTAAATTACACGTCTTTAGTGCGGTCAAAAATTCGTGGCGCAACTTATCCTCAAATATCTCTTTAACGGGGGAATCAATGTCAACCATATTTTGCACAGCAGATTTTATCAATTTGTCTTAACTTAATCATATTTTTTCACAACAATTGAGGCTCGATTATAGAACTTTTCTTCATAAATTTATATGAAATACTATAAATCTCCATCAAGCAGAAAATGCGATTGTTCACAGCGCTTCCCGCTTCTCACACACATTTTGTATACGCATATGGCCTACGTCACAGCTCGCCAATGACACTTTTTAGTGGCAAAACTCCTTACAAAAAGAATGTTTCCTAAATATACGTTCAATAAGCATACTATTGCGATAAGAAAAAAAGACAGACTTGATTTTAAAAGCTATATTGCGAGAGCTGTAAACTTTTTTAATCTGTAGAAACCATCAACAGAGATTTTTTAATTAGTATTTATTATGGAATTTTCTAGAATACAGTGCGCAGGAGTTTTCACCTGTTAAGACAAATCGATATATAAGTCAGTGTGCAAAAGTTGGAGAATCTATGTGCGATAGGTAAGGAGATATTTCACAATACGTTGCGCCATGTATTTCTGACCGCACATAGCTCTGATAAAGTTTCCCATTTTTATTTGCTTTCCCCTTGCTGAGCATAGAACTCTTTTTACATAGCATCGGTTTTCCATATCGCACTCGCTGTGAACACAACAGCACCACTGTAGAACCAACAGGCGGAGCAATCAGCTAGTCTGGAGCAACTCACCAGAAGAAATCAATCATTAGGAATCAATAATAATAATACGCCTGGGCTGGTTTTCGAGGTCCATTTTTTAATTATCCAACAAAAAACCAACAACAAAAACAAACAAAACAAAAAATAAAAAATAAAAATAAAATAAAGAATATAAAAGTCGATATTCTGTGGTTCAAGTGTGAATGCCAGATTATAATTATATTTTTTACTCGTTTATTGAGATTGTGATCGTGGAGGTAAATAAGACGCAGAAGTGAGTGGGAGTGATCATATCCCGTGATACAAAGCTTTGTCTCAGGGACTTGAAGTGAGTGGGAGTGATCATATCCCGTGATACAAAGATTTGTCACAGGGACTTGGAGTGAGTGGGAGTGATCATATCCCGTGATACAAAGATTTGTCACAGTGACTTGGAGTGAGTGGGAGTGATCATATCCCGTGATACAAAGCTTTGTCTCAGGGACTTGAAGTGAGTGGGAGTGATCATATCCCGTGATACAAAGATTTGTTACAGGGACTTGGAGTGAGTGGGAGTGATCATATCCCGTGATACAAAGCTTTGTCTCAGGGACTTGGAGTGAGTGGGAGTGATCATATCCCGTGATACAAAGATTTGTCACAGGGACTTGGAGTGAGTGGGAGTGATCATATCCCGTGATACAAAGATTTGTCACAGGGACTTGGAGTGAGTGGAGAGAAAAGGGGTGTGCAAAGAACAGATAAACTTGATAGGAGAAGCAGACGCAAACAGACAGACATGCACACAGGCAGACAGAGAAACAAACCCATGTGACTGACATATTGACTGATAGATAAACAGACAGACAGACTGAAGATAGATAGATAGATAGATAGATAGATAGATAGATAGATAGATAGATAGATAGATAGATAGACAGACAGAAAGCCAGCCAGCCAGCCAGCCAGTCAGCCAGCCAGCCAGCCAGCCAGCCAGACAGACAGACAGACAGACAGACAGACAGACAGACAGACAGACAGACAGACAGACAGACAGACAGACAGACAGGCTTTTACAACGTACCCTATCTTTGGAAAGAGGGTGCGGTGGCGGAGCGGTTAGTGCGCTCGTCTCCGAAGCGGAAAGTCCAGGTTCCAGCCTCGGTTCGGACACGGATTTTTTTCGCTCCCTCCTGCCCACCCAGCAGTAATGGGTACCTGACTTCGTTAAGATTAAGATTTAGTAAGAGTTTTACGACACTCGCAACACAATAAGGTCATATAAGTGCCGAAGATTAGAGGTGTTACAAGAGAGTAAAAACACAAAAAAGAAGGAGGAGAGATAAGGACGATAGATGATAGATAGGAAAGAAGAAGCAAACCACACCAGAGCACCCGCCAACCACCCACGTACCTGACTTCGAGTTGGGAAAGTAAAGGCGGTGTGGAAAGGAACTGGCCACCCTACCACAATATGCCGAAGGCCCAGGAAGTTGTCTCACTAACAAGGCAATCCCCAAAGTCCGGATCGGATGCTGGAACAACTTTACTCTTTACTTTGGGCTCTCGTGGCCTAGAGGTTAAGGTGCTGGCCTCTCATTCAAAGGTCCCGGGTTCGAATCCGGGTAGTGACCGATAAATTTTCTTCTCTAAATTTGTCTCCTTTCACTTCCTTTCCTGCTCTCTAGCAATGTTCTGTTGTCTGCTTTCGTCTCCTCTTTCTGCCCCCACTCCCTCATCTCCTTTGCACCCCTCCTCTGGGCTCCTGATTCTTTCTACAGCCTTTCTACTGCTACTCCTTGGCTTTTTTTTACTGCTGTCTTTCAGCCACACCCCTGATCTTCTGGTAGGAAAGATCTACACCTAGCCTTCTCGGACAAGGGTGAAAAATCTCGGAAGGCCCGTGTGCAAGTTGCGCACGTTAAAGATCTCTTGGTGGTCTAAAATCGATAAGAGTAGGCTTCGGCCGCCACTCGGGTAAATTCAAAATTTCCTACCAACTGAAAAGGTTTTATGTGTCCCGCGCGTTCATATGACCTTATGCAGTTGCGAGCGCCGTAAAACACTTACAAAAGTTTTTTAAAATCCTCTTTACTTTATCTTTGTCCAGGTTTCCCTCGGAGATGTCCTCTGGTCTACTGGACGTGATCTCTCCACCGCCAGATTTTTACCCGGACCTCGACAGACTCAAGATCACCCTCAACGACTCCAAGGACAGAGTCAAGTGAGTTTTGTTTTGTTTCTGTAAGATTTTACGGCGCTCGCAACTGCATAAGGTCATATGAGCGCCAAGGTGAGTTTAGTTTTATTAAGGTTTTACGGTGTTCGCAACTGGATATGGTCATATGAGCGCCAAGGGGTGGATGTCAACAGAGAAGTCCACACGGGGAATCAGGCTTACTCTACTCATCTATCTAGCCTCAACAGCACAAAGTCTGTTTCGTGAAGTGAATACTGTTGCATAATGTGGAACATTGGGCTGAAAAGGATGAAACTCAGGCTAGAAAGGCTAGACTAGAAAGGCAGTGGTAGACCTCCAAAAAAAAAAAACTTGCTTGGATGTTGCCTAAAAGGTTTTCCTTGGCAATAATAAATATCTTCATCAAAAGCCATTCACCTAGATCTTGACCAGAAATTGCATCCCCCCC